AACTTTCTAACTTATTAGTGGATAGGGAAGTGTGGGGAGAAAAGCTATTCATATTCATATTCCAGTTCTTTAGTATACTTATTTCCATAACCTATAATCATGCAGTATCTCTCGTATTTAAAATATACTGAAATTATTTGTTTCTTTCTCCGCTTCTGATTTCTATTTTCCATAATGACTCTCGTATCCTGATTAGGGCAGCACTGCAGTTCAATTATTTTCCTCATTAGACTTTCACATCTGCTCACTATCCAATTTTTAATGTTTTTGTTGTTGTTCTAATAGTTGTACCATTAACAGCCTTGTTTCCTTTCAACCTTTATAACCTTTCTTTTTTACCTTTTTTGGGGTACAGCAATCAAAAATAATATAGAGGGTTTTATTTATAAGTATAAAATTCATAGCAAAACAAACAAAGCATGCCTAACTATTAGGATAAAAATAACATGTGATAATGTTTTCATGGGGAAAAAAAAAACCAGAAGGAAGAAAAAGAAATCATCCTTTTCTTTTAAATAGAATGACCATGTTGATACAGGAGTTAGGAAAAGAGGGTTCAATGAACTACTCACTTCATATAAAACATTTTTTTACTCTGCAGTGGTGTGTATAATCTACTTGTGCTGTGTATAGAATGCACAATGCTGATAAGAAATTCAAATGAAAAATCCTTTACAAATTCAAAAGACATATAAATATGAATGTGCACCAAATAACTATCATAAAACTCTCTTCTGTTCTTGAGTTTCAACTACATTCTAATTTTGCTGTCACCTTAAATAACACTGTCCTTTGCCAGACAGTGTCATTTTTAAAGAGATTTAAAAGATCTGTTACAAAAAGATTAATCTCAAATTCCTCTGAAAATATTTAGTGTGAATAAAAGCCTGTCTATTTTCAGAATAGTCTGGACTTCGGTCCTTAACCATGCACATGTAGTCAAAAGTCCTATAAAACTGTCAACTGGGCCTGCCATTTGTGTCAAGGTTCATTTCTACACTTGAAACTATGTATTATTATATAATGTGCCACATAATAACTAAAACAAACAAACAAAAAAACACTATGATGTAAAGAATCCTTCCATCCTTTAGTGGCATCTAATTACTGAAAAATTTTCAATACAAATTCATTGCAGAAATTTTAGAAAATGAAGAAAAGTGTAATGATGATGATAAATAGGATGAGTGCTAATATCTCTTACTGTTTATTCTGCCTGAGCTAAGCATTTGGCATATACATTATTTTATTTATTTTTAACAACCCTATGAGATAGACCTATCATTAAAAAAAGGACATATTTTTATCACAATTTTACAGATAAAGAATGTAAGGCTATGAAACTTATATGTAGTCACATAGCTAGTAGGGGACAGAGTCAGAAATTAAACCCAGATCTAAGTCCAGAACCTGAGCCTTCATTCACTAATGTATGCTGCCCAAGAAAGAAAATTAAAACTACCTGTATTTCCACCAACCAGATACAACCAGTGCTAACTGAAGCATCATTCACCACCCCCACTAGCTCCTCTGACTTTCCAGTAATCCCAGATCTCTTCCTCTTTAGGTAACCAATGTTTGGTGAATTCTTCTAGATATTTTCCCCTATGAATGTATATTCATGTATCTATACAAATACATATTAAATTTGTTAAATTACAGAAATAATGTCATGCTATATATAATGTTGCTGTGACAGGAAACGGAGGCACAGAGATATTACACGGCACATTCAAGATCACAAGACCAGTAAGGGGAAAATCAGAATTGAAACACCCTAAGACACATTTAACAAAAAATGACCCAAAACGCTTATGTCTTTTTTCCCCCCTGATTTTTGGAAAACACTTTAAGATCTTATGCCAGGCCTCAGGATTATCACTATAATAATGACAAAATTCGCTAACATTTATGAGCATTTACTATGAACTGAGCATTCTGCTAAGTGCTTTATATTTATTAATCTGATTTAAGATTATGACCCTAGTTTTTACAGATGCGGAAACTGAGGCTTAAAAAGGTGAGTGACTTGCCTAAAATCATACAGCTAATAAGTAATGCTGTAGGCAGAAAAGTTAAGAGTGTAGGATGAATCTGTTCTTACTCTGAGGACTGTTTTACTGAAATCACTTATATCAGCTGGTTACCCTAAAAACAGAATTCAGCCCCGTCTCATACTTGTGACCTGCTTGTGACCTTACACAAGTCACTTAACATCCCCCACAGTGGTAGCTGGGTTATATAACATCATCAGTTATCTCCATGGTTTCAGCTGCAGAACCAAACCATACTGTTTACATGTATTTTTCTCACATTTTCTGCATACAACAAATCTGATTTGAGGAAAAGTAAAACTTAAATTAGGCATTCTAGAATCTAATGTTATACAGACCGAATCTCTCAATTTATTAGACAAATATTACAGATCAACAGCTATGTTTCAGTGTAGCTTTCCCAGCCTGTGCGACCAAATATCAGTGACTTGCTCGGGTTTGAACCACAATTTCCTTTTACATGTAGGACAACTCTGAAAACAAGACATGGGTACACAGATACCAGGTACAGAAAAACAAACCAAGAACAATATGAGTATATGTCTGTTTCTCAGACACAAAAGCTTTATTCTTCCAACCTAAAATACAGGCACCAAAAGGTTTAGATTAATATGGAAACAACATCCCCAGTTACTCCTCAGAAGTCAATAGCAGAATGAACCCTACAGCCTTCCAGCAGTGTTCAGTGGACAAGCCTTTGACAATGCTGTGAGCAGCCTGTAACCCAGTTGGTTCTCAAAGTGTGGGCCCTCAACCATCAGCTTCAGCGTTACCTGGGAATCTGTTACAAGAACACATTCTCAGCCCACCCCAGGCTAAGTGAACCAGAAATTCTGGGGGTGGGCCTAGCAATCTGCGTTTGAACAAGTCCTCCGGGTAACTGTGAAGAACGCTAAAATTTGAGAACCAATGATCTAACATTTAGCTTATAATTGTTGCCTTTGTGAGATCCACTAGTTTCCTAAATTTGCAAGTAATAATGAATAAAGCAGGTGGACAAGAATATATCAGAATACTAGCTTTAAATGCATTATTATGTATAAGTATACAATAAAATATGATCATGTTTCTGTTACTACATCCTGTGTAAGAAAAATTTTTTAAATAAGGATTGTTATTTTTCTTTAGCATGTACTCAATTCATTTGTTTACTGTTAATTTTTGGTACTATGTAGAAGATAATAGCTTCAACTCTCAGGTCACTATTTTATCTCAATGGAAACTTATTTTCAAACAGCTAAATAACTTTATTATAAAAGAGCCAATCACTAAGAAGTTTTTATGCTTTTAAACCTGTTTAAGATAAGAAAAGGAGAGCCTGCAGAGCATAGCAATTAATATTTTGGCAACATGTTAGTTTCTTCCTGGCTTTCTGAAAATCTTAACTGAGGTTTAGCTTGTTTTAATGTCAATTTAGAAAAAAAAAATCCATGCTTATGGAAAATATACATATATAATAACATGGATTTTTCATAGTGATTCAGCAGTAGCATTCCAGCAAACAGCAACTACCTTGCTACTTGACAATAACCACAGCTAGATTAGGTTAAGGGTGTCAGATGGGCAATCAGGAAGCAAAAGAGTAGTTCTCTAGACCATCATTCTGACTTACAATTCTAGAAAAGAAAAGGCCTCTGACAAGGAACTCAATCAATGCAGGAAAGGGAAATTAGAGCATTTATTTATTTTACTTCTTTACACTAAAATGTGCATGAACAAATGCAAAGCACAATATTCCAATGGCCAAGAAGTGTGACAATACCTTTTCAAACATGAAAAAGATACTTCTAACAAATGTGTTACAGTGACATTTAAAGAGCTATTTTGTTCCTTTTAGCAAAAGAACAACTGGTTCCTAATACATAACTGTGACTGACTTAAAACTGAATAAACAGAAGATGACGCCCAGGGTTCTGCATCCTGAATGTGAGATCCCCAAGTGTTTTAATATTCAAAACTGATTCATAAACTCAAACGTCTCTGATAAGGTTTGGCCCATGTCTTTAGTTTTTTTTTTTTTAAACATGTCTTATCTGGGTTCAGAGGTATATTATCTATTCTACATTTCAGATGAGAGCTACTGATATCGTCCCTAAAACTAGCAATCATTTTATTCTGCTGATCCCTAATAATGTAAATATATAGTGGTGGCACTCACTGTGGTTTAAAATCAATTTTAATGAGCAGGAAGAAACAAAAGACCTAAAACCATGTCTTCTAATGTCCTTTACTAAAGCTGTGATCTGTATACTCAGCTAGAGCTGTGAACATTTCTGACACAGTTCTATAGACTCACTGTAGAGTGAGTGTAAAGGATGTTGCCAGGCAACTCATCTAAGTTGGGAAGAATCTAAGCATTGATAATGAGTCTGTCTCAGTTTGGCTCCCACACAAGAAGGGTTTTAGCGAACTCCCACATGTGCTTACAGGCCATTCATGAGAAGAGATAGCTTTAAAAGTGAGTGTCCAGGAGTCCAAAAGCAGGGACCTATAATGTTTCTTTTCTAATTCAAGTTTAATGTTTCCAACATCACAACTATTTTCTATAACCGTCCAGAAATCCAACAGGGACTAGGCAAAATAGGTCATATGTATAGGGCTAGTGTTGAGTGAACATTTTTATTTATATCCTTATTAACATTCCTGTTTGCATATGGCCAAAGCAAAATTTCTTCAAGTGTCTCAAATCATGAAAATCACCTGGAAGCTATCTACCAAAATTATTTTGAAAATTATCTTTGAAATTGTTTTCAATACTTACTCTCAGTATAACAATAGTAAAAAAGGATGTTCAGTAAAAACTATGCTCTAGTAAGGAAAATATGTCATCAGTTGCAAAAGAGGTAATAACGGGTATGTTTTTATAAATAGGGTACATGCACACTACTGCGTGGGTCTGATCTCAGCCTCCCTCTTTCACAGCAGACACTCTGCATGCATGCTTACCAGGGCAGTATGCATCCACGTCCAGTTTCTGAGCTGAAGTGAGGGTTGGTGAGCCAAGCTCGGATTCTGGAATTCGTGGGCTCTCAACAAACTTTGCCTTCCTCAGAGGGGCTAAGAACAGAAAAAGAGACAGAGAGAGAGGGGAGGAGGGGGAAAAAAAAGAGGGGGGGATAGGAAGGAAGGAAGAAAGGAAGGAAGGAAGGAAGGAAGGAAGGAAGGAAGGAAGGAAGGAAGGAAGGAAGAAGAGGAAAGAGAAACAGAGGGAAAGAGAAGGGAAAGAGAAACATAGAGGGGTCATGAGTAAGGGGAACAGCAGGCAACAGATGGAAGCACTTAAATGAACGACACACTCTGTCAGACTCAGATCAGGTTACCCTATTTTTTGTGCCAGAAAAAAAAAATGCATTCTTCATAGAGGAGATGGGTCTTGTTAAGAAGTCACTGCAAACTGAAAAAGTTAAAATCTAATATTCAAAACTATGTGCATAAGTTGTAATTGTGTATAACCTTTTAGCTATTTCTCTCTTTATAAAGAAAAGAGCTTTCTTATTTTGCCTTCCTTTGCCATTAATTATAGGTATTAACTGAGGAAAGTATAGGACTAAGTTTTAAGATTTGGTTTACAATAATTATAATCAAAGGTTGTCATTATCCAGAAACAACCAGAACACTCAGTTGTGATAAATACCATAAGTAGGATTCATCTACCCAGCTTAACAAGGAAATCAGTTCAGCTATTGAGGTAAGGCGTCAAAACTATACTAGGGGACTAAGATATTAACTAGGCCATGTCAGTTTGATGCTGGATGCTAAACAGATGTGATTTAGTTATAAATATAATCATGAGGTCTATGGAGTAGTAAAAATCCATGCCAAGGAATCAATTCATTCTTGTAAGGAATGAAATATAATTCCCAAATTGCAAGTTTTACTTACTGAAAGCTCATATAAATCTTATCAACATTAAGACACTATTGACATACATTTAAATAATCAGTTAAAGATATCAAAAGTTAAAATTATGAAGACTGCTTTGGTACTTTCAAACTGAGTTCTATTACATTACAATAGGGTGAGTGTTTACCATAGCATCAAAAGTATCAGTTAAATCTGAAATTGATTTGTATTAGTGTTATAAGTGTCCAAGATATTGAGTACTTAAGATCACATTACTTTTTTCAAAAGTTTCTGCATACTCTTTAAAATCCTCACCCATTACTGATCCACAAGGGATTCTAAGTTATTCCTAAAAGACCCTGTAAAAACTAATGTAAAACTTAGACCTTATAATGGGCAGAATTCTCCTCTACTTTCTCTGGAGGATAGAAATAACAAAGTATTAAAAAATACAGAAAATACTTTTGAAATGTGCCAATACTCAAAACCTACAGACAAGTAATTCACACTTTAAATCCTAGGATGTGTTTGTATGATTTAAGTGTATGTTAAAAAAAAACCAAAATAAAGCCCATTACTATCTCCATGGCAACAAAGGGTAAGAGTACTAACAGCATGGTTTCTGGCCAAAAGGAAGCTTTGAAATAGCAGCTCTCTCTCTCACCTCTGCTAAGAATGTTATACTTGAGTCTATTTTTAAAAATCAGTATCATAAATGAAGATCTCAAGTGATTTATATGCATATCTGTGGGCTACTAATAACCAATATTAGTATCTCTTTCATCATAATTTCACCAATCAATTCAAAAATAACGAAACAATTTATTCAGTATTGTTTAGTATAAGAGAAATTATTATAATTTAATTCTGAAAGCTCTTAGATCCTTTACTAGAATTTTATTACTACATTATCATGGCAGCAGAATAATGATTTTACCTGCTGAGTTCTGATAAAGACAGCACTGGTCCCTGCTCAAGGGACTATATATCTAAAAATCTTAGTAATTTTCATAATGAAATTTGGGGCTAATAGAAAGAAATCAGCAACTTAGGGTAGATATGTAAGGAAGAAAGTGAAGGATAGCTGGAGAAATTGAGGGAGCTCTGAGGAATGTACAAGAATTATGAGATGGAGTCAAGGGGAAAAATCAGGATTGTAGACATCCCTGAAGCTCAATGCCATGTCGACTTCTTTATTTTCCCTTCTTAGGGAATTCCAACTGAGGTTATCTTATAGCTCATAGTGGACATTTAATTCTTTTGTCTACCTTCATCTGTCCTTTATCCATAGGATACTGTACATGTCTAATAATGAATTTGAATTATTTTATAAGGTAGATTTTTAATGTCGCTCTGATCCAAGTTATAGAAAACTAGTGTTATCTGTAAGTCGCTCAAACACAAGAGGTACAACCACGGGCATGACAGGTTGTCCAATAGTCTTAATACTGTTTGGTACAAAGCAGAAAAGGTCAACTTGTAAGATGGGACACAATATTTTGTTTGGAAGCCTAAAATTTTAATATACTTCATTGTAAAAAAAAAATGGTATATAAAATGACTCAGATGGGTAAGAGAACTCTATGTCAAAAGGGTTTACCAGATAGTAAAAAAAAAAGAAAAGAAAAAAAGTGGTTGAAACCAAACCAGGGATTTTATTGTGATGTAAGAGATAAGAGGAAACTATTGCTCTGAGAAGTGATCTGAACCAACATGGAACATGATTATTATGCTGTTAAGAGACTTGAGTTTGGGAATCTGGCAGAGGTTGAGGAAAAGGATGCATATTAGTTCACAGTATGGGTTTAGTCATTTCAAAGATTTAAGCTTGGCTCTAGTACTTATTAGTAGAAAGAAACTTAGCAAGTTACTTAGCTTTACTAAGACTCAGTTTTCTCATCAAGTCATGGGATTGTTATGAGGCTTATAATTCCAAGCATGTAAAGTACTTAGCCACAGTGCTTGGTATAGTGATATAGCTCATTTGTGAGTTTATTAAGACATGAGTATATTTCTGAAGCTGATGTTGAATAATATTGTATGTCAACTATAATTATATATACATATAGTCACAGTATGTGGAGTACAGTGTGGGAATGGAGTCAATGGAATTGTAATAGATAAGTATGATATTGGGGGTGAGAGGGCAGTGGATGGGGGAGGAGGGTTGTTACTTTGTGAGGGGTGAAAAGGATAACTATTGCATTGTTCTGTACACCTGAAACTAATAATAAAAAATAATTAAAAAAAGACATGGAACAGGGAGGGTTATGCCTATGTAAAAGAAAGTAAGCAAATGGTTTAAGACATAATATGGCGAGGCAGTGTAACATAGCATAATAGTGAGGGGTTACAAAGCTTAGGAATTAAGGGTCTGGGCTCTGAAACCAAAAAGCCTAACTCGGATTCCAATCTGACACTTTTTTCTAACTGTGAGAACCTTTCTGTGCCTAAGTCTCCTTATCAGTTATTTGGGGTTAATAACAGTAACTACACCATGGGGGATGGAAAGAACAGTGATATCACCAATTAGGAGTATTTTTTAAAAATTTAGAAGAGATAATGTGAAAGAATGAAGTTGGACCCTTATCTTATACCATATACAAAAACCAACTCAAAATGAATAAAGACCTATATGTTAAGAGTTAGTTATAAAAATCTTAGGAGTAAACATAGGAGGAAAAGATTTGAATTACAGAATTGTTAGAGTGAAACAGTGGAAAATTTATCTAGAAAGATATATTTTAAAAAGTTTTTAACAGCTTTCATAGGCAGAATCTTACAATACTTGTAACATTTCAGTTTCTAAACAATTCTTAAAAAATAAACCTTTGGGTACTATGCATTTCCTGGAATAGGGGTACGAAGAAGCATAGAAGGAGAGATATTACTCGTTATTTGTGACATTCTTTATTTCCTCCTTCTTAAACCCCCAATCAATGGTGGGTTTAAAATCTGGAAGTTGGTAAAAATAGCATCCTTCCAAACTATCCAAAGTCAACTATGTTTACCATACCAATCCAAATAGCAGTTAGTGTGTGGCCGCCCACTAGTTATCCATGATTGGATTTCATCTGAACCTTCCTTATCTCCACTGATCATACTGAACAGCTTTAGAAAGCAGAAAATCAGAATTCATTTTATCTGAGCAGAAAAGCAACATTATGTAGTTTTACCATTTCCAAGACTCACAGCAACTATATCCATTAAAAAAAATTTAAAGGTAGCTGATCACCATCAACTTATGGCATTGTGGTGCCACTGAAAAGAAGGAGCTTACCTGAACATAACACAAAGAATACAGATGCTATCCAAGTGTAGAGAAAATATTCTGACTTTCAGTCTGTTGAAAATTTAGCATTTTCAATATCAAAATAAGTTCTTTAAAAAAAAAATACCACCTACAGACTTTAATACTAACTTCCTAAAGTAGCAAAACCCAAATAATTGAAATGTCATTAATAATTTTAAATTCGTAGGGCCGGCTGAGTGGCTCAGTTGGTTAAGAGCTCGCTCAAGAGTTTGAGCTCTGAGCAACAGTGGTTCGAGTCAGCCCGAGCTGAGCAGCCGTGAGCTGCCGACAGGTGGCGGGATGGCTCAGCTAAAAAAAAAAATAATAATAAAAAAAAAATTAAAAAAAAAATTTTAATTCGTAAATAATTCATTAAAGAATGGAACAACTAATTATGCTGTAACAATGATACAGCACATTGCTACAGAGAAATAACAAACAAAAGGAATTTGAGAGGGTACACTGGCATATTTATTTGCAAGTAACAGCTTCAAAGCAATGAGTTATCACAAATATAGTCATAAAGTTATCTACCGACCAAAATAAAGAAGTTGTGATATCAAGGGCTAAATGCTTTTTACTAGTATTGGGTTGTTGGAAAAGTCATGACATATTCTTTCTATGTTTTTCATTGCAAAAATGCGTCATGACTTTTCCAACCCAATATTTTCTTCATCAGAAATTATAGTTGGGAGGTATAAACATATATAAACATACAGTGCTGAAAACTCTATTTATGAATCTAATTTCTCCCTATTTAATTTTTCATCTTTAAGATATCCCTTTATTTAAATAATCTTGTAAAAAAACCACACCATAACAAAGCCCTCCCCTATCACCAGAGATGCTAATATGGAATAAGCAAAAACAGAGGCATCAGAATACATGTGAGTGATTATCATAATCATTTGACAGTATTAGG